ATATTTGTGTGTGTGTGTGTGTGTGTGTGTGTGTGTGTGTGTGTGTAATAAAATAAACAAAGCAAACCTTCAAAAACAGATAAAAATCATAGTCCTGACTCAAGTCATTTAGCTATAAAATAAACTAAGAAGTGTAGATTTTCACCTTGATGTTTTGCTGCCATATAAAAATGAGAATACTTTAATTACTAACACAGAAAAATGGAAACATTGGATATTAGTTTGAAGGCATATACTTCTTAAGTCACATTCCCCCAAAACCTATTAAACTGCATTTTTAGAGCTTAAGATATAAGCTATGTATTTTGCTAGGTATTTTAAAATAAAAGTGTTAAGTACTTCAATTAGTACTTTTTTACTTATGAAATTAGAAAACTGAACTTTTTGAATTTCCTATCCTCTTTGAAAGAAGCATATTGATTTGGAAATTAATACAAGCTTTTCTATAATTTTTTTTTTTTTTTTTTTTGCTTTATAATTTGTACATTTGAACATGGTGTGATACTGTGACATTGTAGCAAAGAGCAGTCTGAACTTGATCAAGATTTGGATGATGTTGAAGAAGTAGAAGAAGAAGAAACGGGTGAAGAAACAAAAATCAAAGGTATTCTTTTAAATTATTTCAGGGGCCAGTGGTTGCTGGCACATGTCTTCTAGAGGCAGGTAATAAGTCCTATTCCCTTTTCTGGACCCATGTCCATTGTTCTATTAATTACTCATCAGAAGTTACTGTTTTCACCCCTGCTGCTGGAATATAACACATAGCTGTCAAGTATCTGAGTTTAATCTGAACTGAGAAATATTGGAAGGGGTGGAAATGGGAGTTATTTGGCAGTGCTTCTATGTTTAGTATTTAGTATGTAGAAAACTGTGTGTTGTGTATTGTCTTTTTAAAGAATGTATTCTACTAAACAACACAAAGGGCATTTAGTAGATGTTGACAACATAACTGAATATTTACCTTAGTAGTTTTTAAGAGGAGTGTTACTGATGGAGGTGGAGGTGGATCTGGTTCAGGAGCACTGAGGCACCAGCTGGCTCACTTTTTCATTTTTTTAACCAGGTGTAATTTAATTGTAAAAATACTTCTGAGCTTCTAGCTTTTATCCTTCAAAAAATTTTTTTCTATAGCTATTATTGATACTGCTAAATGCCTGATGTTACAGCTGTGTATCCTCTAGTTGTTGAATTATAAAAAGTTAATTCTTCAAGAATATAGTTGGAAATTAATGGCAGTTTTGTGATACATGTATTAATAATGGAGTCCATACTGTAATTTTAAAAAAATTTATTATTTTATGTGTATGAGTGTATTGCCTGCATGTATGTGAGTGCACCTGTGTCTTGCAATGCCACGGAGGTCAGAAGAGGGCTTCGGATTCCCCTGGAACTGGAGTTAAGGATGGTTTGTAGCTGCCATATGGGTGCTGGGAATCGAACCCGGGTCCTCTGCGAGAGCAGTTAGTGCTCTTAACCACTGAGCCATCTCTCCAGCCCCCATACTTTAATTTTTTAAAAATCCAGTTTATGTTTAGATTTAGACTAATAAAAAAATTTTTTTAATCTATTTTTATTTTATGTGTATGACTGTTAGGCCTGCATGTGTGTAAGTGCACCTGTGTTGTACAGTGCCTGCAGAGGACAGAAGAGGGCGTCAGATCCCCTAGAACTGCAGTTTTGGACTGTTGTTAGTCGCCATATGGGTACTGGGATTAGAACTTGGGTCTTCTGCGAGAACAACCAGTGCATTTAATTACTGAACCATCTCTCTAGCCCCCAAGATTTAGCCTAATTTTTAAAAGCCGTTAACCACATTGTTTAGCTTTAGTTACAACCTCCGTCTCTACTATTTTTATTTATATGTACATAAAAGTTATAATAAGCATCAAATATAAGCATCCAGGCTACTCTATTTTTCAGGCCTAAAATTGTCAGTATAAATGCAGTTTTCTGGTAATTATTGACTAACTTCAAATGACTCTCAAGAATTTTAGCTGGGCATATTGGTAAAGCTTCCTCCCAAGGTGTAAGGTGGGTAAAATACAAGGTAATAGGATTAGAAAGGATTTTGCTCATAGTACCTGTGGCAGTGGCTCTGAGAAATGGTGTACAGTAAAAGTCATCAGGAACCTGGACTTTGCCGAACACTGGGTTTCTCTGGAGTGTTTCCTAAAATTTAACTCTCTTCTTTATATCAGCATTTTAAGTGCCAGTTAGGAAGGCTTCATGATTAGATTATCCTGTGGGGGAAAAAAGAACAATACATTTTCATAAATCTTTCAATGCCCTTTTCTTTTTAAAGCGCGTCAGCTGACTGTTCAGATGATGCAAAATCCTCAGATTCTTGCAGCCCTTCAAGAAAGACTTGATGGTCTGGTAGACACACCAACAGGATACATTGAAAGGTACAAGTTCTTTTCCATCCTCATTTATCATTCTATAAAAACCATCTGTGATTTTTATGTATGCAATGGAAACCTGATGTCTGTTCCTAACTGGTATAGGATTATTGGAAGCTTAGAATTCAGAATCCCAGTTAGATTTAGTCTTTTAAAGTTTACTTTGGTTCAAGTCCACAGGAAGTACATTCATCCATTTCTGTGAGTTTGAAGTATACAGAATGATTTCTTCATGTGTGGCATAAATCTTTAATGATAGCCTATTTCATTAAGCTTATGACTCAGCTTTCTGATTTTAAGATCCATTTAGGCTGGATATGGATCCTACATGTCTATGCTATTTGTATGTATCTCTACTTTTTTAGAAATGTTTCCTGATTCTCTGATGTGTGTCTACTGTTCTATTATTATCTGCTTTTCCTTTGGACTTTTGTTTCCATCAACACAGATTCTATTGTGATGCACATCTTTTTGTCTCTCCATAAGGAACTGTGTAAGAATTTCTTTGGGAAATTCTCTGGTAGAATTGCTACTTACATAGGATAAGCAAGCTTTTAAGAGCTTATAACATGATTTCCATAAATACTGTACCTAGTGTGTGAAGGTTGCTTTATCCTCCTTGTCGCTGCCAAAAATTGCACTAATCCAGCTTCTGTAAATTTTTTTTTTTTAGTTTTTGAACCAGTGTAAAAGATATGGTTCTTGTTTGTTTTACTTGTATTTTCTGATATCTGATAAACTTGGAGCTTTTTAGCCCATTTGTATCTTTGTTCATTTTCTTACTGGAGTTATATTTTGCAGAAGTCCCTCTGTATTGTAGATGTTCTCTTGTCATTGCAAATAATCCTTTGTGTCATTTCCAGTTTTATCCTTTGTTAAACAGAAATCCTTGATTTTTGTATTACCAAAATGGGTGGAGTTTTGAACTTTGTTTTTCTGTTGCCTTGGTTTTTTAAGAGGTCTTTAAGAAGTCTTTCTTAGTTCTTCCACATTCCTATTGACTAGTTTTACCTTATACATACAGGTCTTTAATTCCTTTAAAGTCTACCTTTGTATTTGGTACAGGTAAACCTCCATTTCTTTCTCTCTATTTCTTATAAGTTAGTTTTTATCAAACTATATTAACTGTAAATCAGCCTTTCTCCACTTTTATTTGTGTACCACCTCTTTTACATTTCAAGTTCTTATAGTTGTGTTTGAGAAGCCCATTTCAATTCATTGGTCTTGACTATTCTTTCAATCATTGACATACGTTTAGTTACTCTTGACTTCATAGTCTGTATTCCATCTTAGAGGGCAAGTTGCTTTCATACTCGCCCAACTCCATACACAGTCTTTCCACTCTTGTTTCACTGGTCATCTTATCTATTCTTTTGCCACATTTTTAATAGTATATTTGGCAGATGAAATGCTTTCTTCCACCCCCAAACATGACCAAGATTAGCCTGTTTATCCTGCATATGTTTGATGGGTTTATCAGGATGCTTAATTTTTTTTAACCTTGAAAGTTTGATAGGAATTGTACTAAACTTAATAGATTGACAGAGTAGTATATTCTAATATTTCTACCATATACTTGTATTTATTTATAGCACATTCTTAGAGTTTCTTGTTTTTGTCATAGAATACTGGTTACATTTATTTTGGTATATTTTACATGTGATGCTACTGTTAAGCATAGTGCTCTTCTATGTTGTATATTTGATACACAGGGGTGCTGTTAGTATTTAAATTGATACTATATCAAATAATATTGCTAAAATTATAAATAATTTATTGCCTCCTCCCCCAATTTTCCATGAAAGATCTTATTCATTAGTAATGGCAATTTTAGCTGTAATCTTTTGTATTAGGCCATACCATGTACTTTTTGGGAATTGAGCCCAGGGCCTTCACATGCTAGGTAAGTGCTTTACATTGAGCTCTATCACCAACTATCAGTGCCTGCTTTTCATGCAGCTTTGTTCTTTGTTAATCCAAATGCTTTTTTGAACTTTTTCCTTGAGTCTGTTAAGTAAATATCAAGTTGTTTTGGAAATTTATTTTGGAAATCAAACTACTCTGAAGTAAACATAACTGTATTGTTACATCATTTGTGAGATAAAGTTGTGTGTACATATTCATTCATGTGTATACTTTATATGAATATGTATATAAAGAAACTTACTTTCATGGAGTGGTAATACAAGATTTCAACTGCTTAAACAAAATGAACAGCTGTTTCTACTCTTTTTTTCTGTTTTCTGCAATAGTTTGTGTAAGATAGGAAGTAACTAATTATTCCTTTAACATTTGGTAGAATTCTTCCTGTACTTGACCTTTTGAAATTCGATGATTAGAGCTCTTGGAAAGTTTGGGGTTGCCATTTTATTTTAAAAGGTTTGATTATTATGTATATACATTTGTTTCTAAGTAGGGGGTTTGTCCTTGTCAGGGCAGGTGTCCATGGAGGCCAGAAAAGTTGGATCCTCTGTAGCTGGAATTATAAGTGGTTGTGAGACACTGATGTGGGTACTGGAAATTGAACTCTCGAACTCTCATCCTTTGCAAGAGCAGTACATGCTGTTAGCCACTGAGCCATCTCTCCAGCTCCTACCTAATTAATCCAGATTTTCTTTTATGTCAATTTTGGAGTGTTGTACTCTAAACATGTACGTAGTTTGCCCCTTAGTATTGCCAGTTGTCTTGATCTTACCAATGTTTCTTTGAGCCTTAATTTTACTTTTGATTTCCTTTTCCATGTTTGTTACTGCTGCTCTCTCACTTATTTGTGGCCATGTCTTTACTTGGTTTGTTTTGTTTCTCCTTTGAGTTTGTTTATTTGAACACTTAGTTCATTTTTTAAAAAAAAATCTGTCCTAATGGTCTTAGCGTTCTTTTTTTTTTTTACTTATGTGTGTTTACACATGAAGATATATAACGGCCAATGTGTATATATATACACATGAAGGTGTATGTATGGCCTGTGGAGGCCAGAAGGCATCAGAGCTGGTAGAACTAGTGTTAGGGCAGTTGTGAGCTGCCCAACGTGAGTGCAGGAAACTGAACTCAGGTCCTCTCCAAGAGCAGTACTCTTGATCGCTGAGCTATCTCTCCAGCCGAGCAGTAAATAGTCTATAAATGCTGACTGGAGGCAGGAGATGAGGTGGCTTAAACAGGTAAAGGCAATCCTAACCACTGTAACTCACGCAAAGGCGAAGAGAACCAACTCCACAAAGTTGTCCTTTGCCATCTGCATGTGCACCCCCACTATATTAAACTTTTTAAAAATCAAAAATGTGCAAAGGCATGTTGATGTTAGTAACTCAATCTTAGTTGTATTTATGCTATTTTTAGTTCTATGTATTATCTACTTCATCTGAACATTTCTAGGAAGACTGCATTAACAGTGTTTCCCATTGTAATTCTTCATATTGGGAACTGATTAAGTTTTAAATCTATATTTGTGGTATGTGTGTATACTGAGGTCTTCCTTTGTATTTTCTGTGCAAGTGAGTGCTAGTGCAAGTGAATGCTAGTGCCCATTGGGACCAGAGGCATGCAGTCCTCCTGTGAGCCTCCCTGTTTGGCTGTTGAGAACTGAACTCTGCTCCAAATCACTGAGCCATCTCTTCAGCCCTACATTTCTTGAAATTGGATCATGTTTGGACTAACTGGTAATATCTTTTTCCTATTTGTACTTCTTTTGGGTTTTGTTTCACTTTTTTCATTGGATAGATGAGGTTGTTCTTTGTTGGTTTCAAAGCTAAAACATTCTGTTTCTAGCTACTGCTATGGCTTATAAACCAACAACTGTTTTATATACTATAGATTTGTTAAATATTTTAAGGTCTGTACTGCTTATAAATATATTGTTCTTTTTTTTTTTCTTTAAGGCAACAGTTTGATTTACTACCATACCTTCCTTATATCATCATTTCTTTAAAATGATTTTCAATAATTATATCTATGACTTACCTATTGAAATTTAATGTGCCTGGTAAATTTTCTATCTTGATTTCAACACTGAATTCAAAAATTCTTTAAAATTATCAATTCTTTTTTCTCTCACACGGTGCTGCCTTTGAAGTATGGTTTAGTTTGATTCCTTTCCCTTTGTGGATTACCTTTTCCTCAGTGAGCATCTTGATGATTATTTTTCTCTAAGGGAAATTTATCATTTCATAGCCTGAAACTCCCTTCTGTTAGCTCAGATGCTTTTGTTGCCCATATTGCAGAGCTTCTCTGTCAGGCTGACTTCTTGGGGACTTTTTAACCTCATGGACTTCCTTCTATTTAACTTAATTGGCTAATTTAGGTACTGTATATTCATGTTTATTCTTTTTGATTTCTTGGTCATGTTTTATGTTGTAATATTGTCTCATCTCTAGGCATTCAAATTCTTTTTTTTTTTTTTATGCTGCTGCAAATAGAGTCAAATCTTGTATTACTCAAATGTCTACTTTATTTGGCCTGAGTTCAGGCATGCTGACAGAGTTGGTGGGGAATAAAGGTCAGTCTATGGTCTGTGATGGTCCTATAGAGATATGAAAAGAATAAAGTGATCTTAAGTGCCAGTCACCGTAGGCTCACAGTTGTTTTTTTTTTTATTGGTTGTCTAATTCATTGAACTCAAGTAGGATGGGATGGAGCCCATCCTGCCTACTTGAACTCTTCATGTTGTCTTAGGAAATAGAGGAACAGTCAGTAATTGTTGAAGGGAAGAGCAGAGCTTACAAGGTTTTCATACAAAATGGTTTTTCTAGCCTGTCTTCAATGTTATTCCCAGGTCGTAGCTTATTATGTGCATACTGGTTACAGATAGCCTTCTTAAAAGTTGCCTATGGGGGGGTGTATGTCCTTATGTGCTTGTTTGCCTGAAGTAATTTCCTCACTGGTTATAAACTTTTCTAGGGTTAATTTTAGAGTGAGATTGAAAGCTAGTAGCAGCCCATGTTATTTTACTGGTTGGAGGGGATGTGGCCTTTTTCTTTTTTAAAAAAATCAAAATTTAGTTAATTTATCTTTATTTAATGCGTATGAGTATTTTGCCTACCTGCATACGTATAAGTCTATCACGTGCATTGCCATGGAGGCAGAAGAGGGCATTGAAGCCCCTTTAACGGAGCAACAGACAGTGCCATGTGGGTGCTTAAAACCACTGAGACATCTCTCCAACCTCTGGTTAGTTGGTTTGTTGAGACAAAGTTTCCCTGTAGCCCCAACTGAACTAGAACTTGCTATGTAGACCAGGCTGGCCTCTAACACCCAGAGGTCCTCCTTCTGCCTCTGCCTCTGGAATGCCCAACTAAAGATTTATTTAATTTATTTATTTAATTTTTGTGTGTGTGTGACTGTTTTGTTTGTATATATGTGTACCACATCAATGTCTGGTGATAAGAGCTCAGAAGACGGTGTGGGATCCCCTGGAACTGGGATTAGAGACAGTTGTGAGCCTCAATGTAGGTGCTGGGAACCAAATTGTCAGTGTGCTCTTAATCTCTGAGCCATTTCTCCAGCTCCTGGTCCCTTTTTTATTTGTGTCTATGTATGTGCAGGACATGTGGGAGTTGGTTCTCTCCTACTAGGGCTATCCAGGGATCAAACTTAGTTTGTCATGTGTGCCCAGTAAAATTTTTATCTGCTGAACCATCTCGAGGGACCAGGAGGTAGTTATTTCACCAGTTAGAACATTGTTTTTTACTTTAAACAAAAATTTGGAAGGAAAACTCTAACCTGGATCCTGAGTGTTAATTGCTTAGATTTCCTAAAATAGGGTGTATTTTGAGAATGAACTTTATGTGGATGCCAGGAGAGTTCATGAATTTATTTACTCTCAAGGTGTTTGTTTCTAAAAATGAACACCCCTCAGCCTGGTTTGGTATATCCCTGTATTCCTTAGGTGGTAAGGCAGAAGGATCAGGAATTCAGGAGTCTTCCTTGGCTATATCTTTGGGACCAGCTTGGGCTCCATAAGACCAAGTATCCAAAAAGAAAAAAAAAGAAACAAACCAAAGTTCACCCTTTTGTGTATTGTATCAGTTATGTCTTCGATGAGTTCTTTAAGAAAATGCATATTCTTCATAATGTTATTAGTGAATGTAATTTCAAATTCTAAATTATAGAAAGTAATGTTAGATAATATTTCTGCAAAGTGTGTGTGTTCTCTTGTTATTCCATGACTTTACCTTTGCACTAGATTACATTTTAAAATCGAAATGCCTCCAGTGACAAGTTTTAGCACTGAATTTGATTATAATCATTTGACAGTATGATTTCTATTTTTCGACCCATTTGCTTTACCTGGTTTTAATTACTTTCCAAACTCTTTACTTCAAAGAGTAAACATCCACCTTTATGCTTCAATTTTAGTGTGAACAAAGTGTGACATATTTTGCTATGATTTTATGTAACTGTGTTTCTAAAACTTTCAGCTTGCCTAAGGTAGTCAAAAGACGAGTGAATGCTCTCAAAAACCTTCAAGTTAAATGTGCACAGATAGAAGCCAAATTCTATGAGGAAGTTCATGATCTCGAAAGGAAGTATGCGGTTCTCTATCAGCCTTTATTTGATAAGGTAATGCTTTATGTATACTACTTTAAAATTCTAGCTGACAAGCTTTGGAAAAAAAAACTTGTATATGGTTTACAGACACCTTATTAGAGATACTTGGGAAAACCATCAATAACAATTGTCCTTGATGAGAAACCACAGGCTTAGTACCATTGTTTTTATACAATCTCTTTTAAAAAATTTTTTTTTTTAATTTTTAGCGATTTGAGATCATTAATGCAATTTATGAACCTACAGAAGAAGAATGTGAATGGAAACCAGATGAAGAAGTTGAAGTTTCGGTTGGTACCAACTGTTTTTTTCATTTCGTTTAAGAAGACAAGACCTTAAGGAGCTGTCAGAAGTATTAGCATTCATTGATGGTGTATAGTATTTTATAGGCAATCTTTTTAAGTGCTGGGGATCACTGACGCTTTAATACCCAGGAAATGTTCTTTTTGTGTAAGGTGGATAATGAATGCACTGTGCATGAGCTACTGTTCAGCCTGGAACCATCTTATAACCCAAGTCACTTTTTCCATATATTTTCATAGTATTTCAAGCTTATTTCTAGAGTTTTCGCTTGACATCATAATGGCTAGTAAAGGGCCATACCCAGTTTTCAAGGGAAGGGAGGAGGCTTTTATGCGATTTGCCTGCAGTGAATAATGACAGCTGTACAAGTCCTGTGTTACATGACTGTGCTTCTTTTTACCATTGCTATTTTTATGTTAGTTGGCAAGAGAATACAATCATTAAAATATTTTGATTAAAACTGTCACAAGCTATCGCCAGGTGTGGCAATGCATACCTGTTGTAATCTCAGCAATGAGGCAGAAGCAGGTGAATCTCTTTAAGTTACAGGCCAGCCTGGTCCACACAGAGAGTTCCAGGGTAGCCAGGGATACACAGTGAGAGCCTGTCTCCAAAATAAAATAAAAATGTCACAGGCTGAACACTGGACAGTTACTGTTGATATTTGCTATAGATAAGTCTTGTTCTTATACTGTCTTTTTTTTTATTGTTCTGCTTTCTGAAAAGATGTTTCTAAAGCTCTTGGTTTGCCAAGTGCTTCATTTTAAGGAGGTGTAGCAGTAATGTTTATGGAATTGAAGTTTGGAATGAATAATAGTCCTTATACAATTAAACAAGAACTCTTGGTTGAAAGTTATAATTGGTGACTGTAGATCTGTTGGTTCTTTTTATACTAAGGCATTGTAAGTTAAAGGAGTTTTAAGTTTATCAAAAGATCTAATCTAGGTATTCAGTTGTTGGCTCTCATTTTTCAAGGAGGAACTGAAAGAAAAGGCCAAGATTGAAGATGAGAAGAAGGATGAAGAAAAAGAAGACCCTAAAGGAATTCCTGAATTTTGGTTGACTGTTTTTAAAAATGTTGACTTACTCAGTGACATGGTTCAGGTAATTTAATTCATAAAAATACCTGTTTTCCTGAAAGAATAAATCTTTGAAATTTAAATGGCTCTGATGACTAGTTTCTTCGATGTTGACTTATAAAATGATAATTTAAAAAAAATAGTAGTTTTCTGTAGGAAGAAGCTGTAGCTTTGATTAATCAAGTTACAATTTACTTTTAAAGATTAAGTAATGAAATGGTGTCTTTGATTATTGTCAGTTTGCTTTTTTGTGGGCCTGTGCCTTATTTATCAGGGAATCTTGGCAGTTTTATTTATTCCTCTAAAAGATCTTTTCAGCATGAAATTCAATAATCCAGGGGAAATTTGCATCTTAAAATACATAAAGATGCTTAACCTATGGTATTATTCAAGGGAAACCAGCACAGGTGTTAACTTTCTTTCAGAAACTGCCCTTTGGTGTTTCTTGAGCCTCTGTCATCTGTGCTGTAGTACTTGGTGGCCTATCTTGTGATTGCTAGAAGATGGCATTGACAAATTAAAATGACCTCAATAATGACTGCTTGTTTTGTTTCATTTCTGCTTTACCAAGGTAGAAAAGGAACAAGCATTTTTTATTTTATTTTATTTTATTTTATTTATTTATTTATTTTGAGACATAGTCTCTATAGCCCCACTGGCCTAGAACTCTATGTAGATCAGGCTGATCTCCATTTCACAGAGATCTGCCTGCCTCTACCTCCCAAGTGCTGAGATCAGAGGTTTGTGCCACTATGTCCTACAAAACATGACCTTTTTAGACTTGGTTTTGTATTTCTCACACTAGTCTATATGATGCAGTTCTTTTTTTAGTCACTTTTTTCTAAGAACTACAGTATAAGGTAGCTTCAGTGTAAGTCCCAGTCTGGTGAAGAACTCTTTTTCTTTTTTACCATTTATTTATTTGTGCTACTTTTATGTGTATGACTGTCTTGCCTATATGTAAGTGCACCATGTGTGTACCATGCCCACAGAGGCCAGAGAGGTTGTTGAATCCCCTGAAACTGGAATTAAAGATAGTTGTTACTGCTGTTTGCCATGTAGGTGCTGGGAACTGAACCTAGGTGCTCTGCAAGAGCATCCAGTACTCTTTAACCACTTAGCCTCTCTAGCTCCCTGGTGAAGAAGTCTTAAGGTTCATAATTCTATGAAACTTCACTATAAAAGATATTATGCCTTAGTCATTTAGTTTTGTGTAGTAATAGAACATTGACCTTAAAATGCCAAATTAGATGCTTATTTTTATTCTTTTAATTCAAAGGAACATGATGAACCTATTCTGAAACACTTGAAAGATATTAAAGTGAAGTTCTCAGATGCTGGCCAGCCTATGGTAAAAGAACTTTTAAATATTTTGAACTCAGTTTTGTAACAGATACTTTTACAGATGGATAATGGAAAATGTTTTTGAATAGATGACATTCCTGAGTTAGTGATGAAAATGAGATGGTGTTCAAGCTGATATTTGTACTCTTGTAATGTTTGGATGTATAGTTGTGATGTTGTACTTACTCCTGTTCTTGGGGGACTCATTGAGCTACATACATTAAAGTAGATAAAAACATAAGGAAACAGTAATGTCTTGAAGGTGTGTGCCTGGGAATTACCCAAAGCAGATGATGCTAGAGCCCCTCCCCCCCACACCCCCAATCCTCTTTGAAGAGAGATCAGCTAATAACCCCTCTAAAATTTTTGAGTATCATGTCAACTATGGCCAAAGCTACTGTGAATTAAAGACTGTAGAGTCTTAAGGTTGGGTCCTTTCCTATGTCAAGTTGAAGTTCTAGCTTCATCATATTTAAAAGCTATCTTTGTAGTGGGGTAAGAAGGGCACTTGGTCAGTTTATCTAGATTAATTTAGTGCAAATGATTGTAACTATATTGTTTATTTTGTGCCCTGAGTTTTGTTTTGACATAATTAGGGCTTTCCCCTATGTTCCTATTCTTATGAATATAATATTTTAAGGAAAACATTTAGCATTTGATGTATCCTTTTCACTGCTCAAGCTGTTTACTAATGCATTAAAATTCGTGGTGTAAGAATTTGAACTTAACTAATTTCTTTCTTTCTTTTTTAAGAGTTTTATCTTAGAATTTCATTTTGAACCCAATGACTATTTCACAAATGAAGTATTAACTAAGACTTACAGGATGAGGTCAGAACCAGATGATTCTGATCCCTTTTCTTTTGATGGACCAGAAATTATGGGTTGTACAGGGTAAGTTAATTGTACTACTGCATTTCACTTAAGTTTTGTTTAGAATTTTTCCCATTATACCATAGAAAGCATTTGAGCCAATTATCTTCTAATATTTTAACTTGAAGCTATACTCTTAGAAAATCTAACAATCAAAAATGTGCTAAATTGTGATGAAATATTTTTTCTTCTCTGTTTCATAAGGTGTCAGATAGATTGGAAAAAAGGAAAGAATGTTACTTTGAAAACCATTAAAAAGAAGCAAAAACACAAGGGACGTGGGACAGTTCGTACTGTGACTAAAACGGTTTCCAATGACTCTTTCTTTAATTTCTTTGCCCCTCCTGAAGGTAAGTAGTGTTTTAGTTTGGGTCTTAATGGTTGTTTTATCATAAACTTTAATTTCTTTCTCACTTGGATTTCTTTTGTTCATTTTGCAGTTCCTGAGAGTGGAGATCTGGTAAGTTGAATTGTTTATTCAATTGATAGATATGAATTAAAGAGGTAGTCCTTAAATTATAGTATGGGATGGTTGCTGCTAGCATTCTTCAGACAGTTTTATTTCTGTTGTTTCTTTGTGTGTGTTGCTGATGAATAGTAAGCAAATGCTTTATCACTGAGCAGTGAGTGGCCAGTATTCTGCTTTGAGGGCTGTAATGCATGGGAAAATCTTTATGGTTTTGAAAAAGGAAAATCCAGTCTAAATAAAAATGGTTAACTCACTGAGGAATTTGGGAATGAAAAGCCATCCACCTTCTCTTGGAAGACAAAATATTTCTTTAAAATTTTAAACTTTTAGTTTTGTGTGTTTGTGGTTGGTTGCACATGTGATCCAAGGACAACTTTGGGGAGTTAGTTTTACTACCTTCACATAAGTTCTGGGGATTGAACTCAGGTCATCGCATCAGGTTTACTTTGCAAGCACCTTCATCTGAGTCATCTCGCCAACCCAATCTAAATATTTCTGTGAGGGATTTAATTTTTCCACAGTGTTCTTTTCTTACCAAAACAGCATATTAAGCTGTTGGTGTCGTTTTATTAAACTCCTATGAGTTTTACATTGTGGCCACATATGTTTTGTACATGTGGATATGGCCAAAGACTGAAGTGTTTCTGTCATGGGTCCAAACTAAAGAATTAACTGGTTTGAACTAGAGTGAACTGTGTGGTTTGGATCAAAGCATCTTTTATAGGACAAACTACAAGAATGTACAACAGGATATGAACTTCATGTAAGACAAACTATGTAGGAGCACTGAGATAAGAGCATCACTATTTTCTTGTCAGATTGGGTTTTTATGTATATAGTTTATTAAATAATAACTACTTACATGATTTTTTTTGATGGGGGGGGGCTGGGTTTTTTTGACAGGGTCAAAAAACTGCTTTGTTTAGTCCCAGACTGCTTGAAAGTCATTATGTGGATCAGGCTGGCCTTAGTCTTACAGAGATCTGCCTGCCTCTGCCTTCTGAAGGCTGGAATTAAAGGCGTGCCAACTCATGGACCTGGTAGATTTTTTTTTTTTTCTTTAAATTGGAGAATATCAGAACCAGTTCTGTGCTGTGCTTTCCCATTAAATGGGAATCTTATTCTGACCTGCTCTGTTGTCTTTTTTTAAGAAGGACTGAAACTTTGATTTGGAATTAAGTAGATATATAAATAAAATATTTTATTTATCCTCTGCAAGAACAGTGGGTGCTCTTAACAGCTAAATGCTCTCTAGCCCCTTATTTGTTATTTTTACTTCATGTATATGAGCATATTGCCTGTATGAATGTGAGTGCACCCATATTGTGCAATGCCCGCAGAGGTCAGAAGAAGGCATCAGATCCCCTGGAACTGGAATTATAGATGGTCATAGCCACCATGTGGTACTAGGATCCAAACATGGGTCTTCTGCAAGAGCAGTCAGTGCTCTTAGCCACTGAGCCATCTCTCCAGCCCTCGGATTAAGTAGATTTAAACTTGTCCAGCTGCTTGTGCTTTTTTAGGAAGTGGGAACTGATCATCTGGCATGCTTTTTTGTTTGCAGTGTACTTCAAAGTTGCTAACTTACACGTGCCTGAAATCTTCTTCTTAGTCTGCTAAATTGTATTTCTAGTGCTTTTTCAAAATAATTTTTTTGTGTGTATGTTGGGGATAGGAAGGGCATGTAAAGGTCAGAAGACAGTTTTTGGAAATTGGTTCTCTACTTCCAGCTACGTATGTGAGTTCAGGTTGCACAGGTTTGGCAGCAATTACCTGCTGAACCATCTTGCTGGCCTTGCTAATGTTTCTGAAGGAAAATTACCTTATGCACAAAGTTGCTTTTAAATTTTCCTATTTAAACAAATAAACAGAAAGCCTTAAATGATAAAGTTGTAATTTTTCTTGGCTATAATTTTTCTTGGCATGTGTGCTACTAAGGTATTTTCAGTTATTAACTTGTTAATCTAGTACATGTAGATGACTACTTGATCTACATGTGTAGAAACTAATTCTTAAATGACAAAGTAAAGTTGAAAGTTTCTCACATGCCAAATTAAATGATATTATTCTTAAATAACTTGTCTTTTCTTTCTCTTAATAGGATGATGATTCTGAGGCTATCCTGGCTGCAGACTTTGAAATTGGTCACTTTTTACGTGAGCGTATAATCCCAAGATCAGTGTTATACTTTACTGGAGAAGCTATCGAAGATGATGATGATGATGTGAGTACATTTGAATCCTGCAGTGAGATCATTTGGTGAGAGTATAATACTCAAAATTGTTAAGAAGTTAAGATTTATTGGTTTGTAAAAGTAGAACAAAGAATAAATCAAAATGAGGCAGATTACTGATAACCCTTTAGATAGCTTTTCTAAGTTTTAAGTAGGATCTTTGGATTCATTTGTTTTCGTTTTTATTTTTCTGATAATAGAAAAATTATTCTGAATTTATGAAATGTGGTTCCTGTTGGATTTCTTTTCTTGCTTTGAAACCACATAAAAGAGAACTTTTTGAGTGTTTATGATAACATTTATATAGGTAGTATGGAATCTTTAAGGAAATCTTAGGGAACTACTTAATTAAACTTCCCTTAAATATTTTGGATGTCCTTAGTGCAGTATGTTCCACACATACCATGCAAGTGAATAGTCGTTACAGTAATAGTTGTATGTCTAGTCCATGTAATCGTACTATACATTTTAAGTTATCAGGCTGTAGATAGCACAGAGCTGAGTGATTTTTCTGCAGTTGATGGCAAGTCTAAATATTTATAGTCACTTTTTCTCCTTTTTAGATTTTAGTGGTAAATGGTGGTTGTTACTAATGCTGTTCTCAATTATATGTAGGTATTCATTCATACCTACCTGTCTTTTCTTTTTAGTATGATGAAGAAGGTGAAGAAGCAGATGAGGTAATGTTTACCAAATGAACAAATAATTAGCTATGTGACACATTGAAAAGCAAATTGATTTGTGTATTCCTTTACTATAATCATTCTGTGATTTGGGATAAATTTTGGAAAACATGGTTTTAGAATTCTACAGCCAAACAATGTATGTATAAGGTTTCAATAAATAAATTGTAAAACTCAGCAACATTTTTTTTTATTTCAAATAATTTTGTTCTGCTGCAGGGTTATCAGCTCTTTGAAGAAGTCAAAAGCTGCAGTAAACTTTTTCAACGTTGGCTGCAGTAAATCTTTTCAATAAAAGCTGTCTGGATGTCTCAAGTTGTGTTGGGAAATTTTTCATATTAGAAGCTTTCAAATTAAATTGTATTATCAACAAACTCTGTAATCATGAAAATCTGTTGACCCATAGAGTAACTTGTATTAAATTTTCCATACATTGTGAGCCAATTTTTCCTACTGTGTTCCTACTTCATGGATGCATTTTGAACTTTGATATAGGAAGGGGAGGAAGAAGGAGATGAGGAAAATGATCCAGACTATGACCCAAAGGTGAGTGAAATTCAGTGCCATTTCTATCAAATTTAAAGCAGGCTAAAATAAAAGTATTTAAGATTGCATTTTAATGGCAAATTATTTGGGACTTTGCTGTTTTTAAGCATTAAAAGTATGTTTATTATAGTTTTCCTTCCAAAGAAGTTATAATTAAAGTCAACTAAAAAAGTCCTAAATGCAGGAATGTGTGGGAACTCCATGGAGCAATGCTGTGTGTTGGATTCTCCCAACCACCACTATTTAATCTTTGAAAGTCCCAAACTGTAATTCTCTGGAATTTAGAGTTAGTAAAAGTTTTTCTCTAAATAGACTCTATATTATTTTAGATTATGATTTGGTATCTCATCTCATGGGCTTTTCTTTGACTTGTTAATACCGAGTGAGTAATTAGCCACTCTCCTATACCATTTCTTTAATTTGACCAAAATTTTGATAAGTCTTGAAATACGTGATAATTAAAGTAGTTGGTGTTTGGAAAACAGCAAAGCAGGTAGAAGCTAGATTGACTTGTTATTTTCCTTTAACAGAAGGATCAAAACCCAGCAGAGTGCAAGCAGCAGTGAAGCAGGATGCTGTGGCCTTGAGGATAACCTGCACTGTAATAGCCTAAACACAACTGTTATTTACTTACAGCCTTATGTTTTTGTATTTTCTTGGTAGACGCAGTCAGTTTTTAAACTTGGAAAGGAAATTGATATTTTGAAGACCAATTTGTTCTACCTAGCGTTTTAACTATAGTTTTTCTCTCACAGACATTGAATGCACAAATCGTCTCATGCATGTTCATTTCCTGCTGCAGTTTGGTTCTTCTGGAATATTTTCATCATGTACCTGTTAGAGTACAACTATGAAAAATCAGCTGTTAATAAACACATTTTTTGGTGTGACTTTTTCCTAAAGAACCAAAGTAGTTTTCAACTGGTAGTGGAATGGGTTTAGGTCTGCTTGCATTTGTTGTGCTTTTTGTTGTTACAGAAATGCAGTGACTTAGACAATTCATCATTTAAGGGAGGGAAATTGCAGTTAAGAATTTCCAGTAAGATCAAAACTAGTAACAGATTATTAGTAGATTTTTATATTTTAGATGATATAATCA